CTTCTCATTTTATAGCACAGGATTAATATAACCTGGGTTATTTCTCCTTCTCATTTTATAGCACAGGATTAATATAACCTGGGTTATTTCTCCTTCTCATTTTATAGCACAGGATTAATATAACCTGGGTTATTTCTACTTCTCATTTTATAGCACAGGATTAATATAACCTGGGTTATTTCTACTTCTCATTTTATAGCACAGGATTAATATAACCTGGGTTATTTCTCCTTCTCATTTTATAGCACAGGATTAATATAACCTGGGTTATTTCTACTTCTCATTTTATAGCACAGGATTAATATAACCTGGGTTATTTTTCCTTCTCATTTTATAGCACAGGATTAATATAACCTGGGTTATTTCTACTTCACATTTTATAGCACAGGATTAATATAACCTGGGTTATTTCTCCTTCTCATTTTATAGCACAGGATTAATATAACCTGGGATATTTCTCCTTCTCATTTTATAGCACAGGATTAATATAACCTGGGTTATTTCTACTTCTCATTTTATAGCACAGGATTAATATAACCTGGGTTATTTCTACTTCTCATTTTATAGCACAGGATTAATATAACCTGGGTTATTTCTCCTTCTCATTTTATAGCACAGGATTAATATAACCTGGGTTATTTCTACTTCTCATTTTATAGCACAGGATTAATATAACCTGGGTTATTTTTCCTTCTCATTTTATAGCACAGGATTAATATAACCTGGGTTATTTCTACTTCTCATTTTATAGCACAGGATTAATATAACCTGGGTTATTTCTACTTCTCATTTTATAGCACAGGATTAATATAACCTGGGTTATTTCTCCTTCTCATTTTATAGCACAGGATTAATATAACCTGGGATATTTCTCCTTCTCATTTTATAGCACAGGATTAATATAACCTGGGTTATTTCTCCTTCTCATCTTATAGCACAGGATTAATATAACCTGGGTTATTTCTCCTTCTCATTTTATAGCACAGGATTAATATAACCCCAAACATTCATTTCTCTCTGTCACAGTGATGCCTCACACACACACACACACACACACACACACACACACTCACACACACACACTCACACACACACACTCACACACACACACACACACACACTCACACACACACACATTCACACACACACACAGACACACACACACACTCACACACACACACACACACTCACACACACACACTCACACACACACACACACACACCACTCACACACACTCACACACACACACACACACTCACACACACACTCACACACACTCACACACACACACACACACTCACACACACTCACACACACACACACACACACACTCACACACACACACACAGTGGATAAAGTCACCTTCACACTCGTGCAGCATTAGCCGTTAGCAGGACTGAAATACAGAAGCCAGAGGCCATAAAGCACACAGCCTCTCTCAGACTGTCTGAGGTCACTATCTGATCTGAGTGTGGGAAACACTCTGAGCTACAGAGCACTGGAGTCTGAGTTTATTAAAATAATAAAATAATTAGAATAGAAAACCAAAAAGATGAACAGGTGAAAAACCTCATCACTGTAATTATGTGTACATTCATCATCATTTCTCTACACGTGACATTTATTAAAAACTAATATTAGATTTTATAGTGTAACTTATGATGAAGAGACTGAGACCAAGTTCAAAGGGTGTGGAGATCGAGACGAGCCAGAGTCCAAATGATGTTGAGATCAGACGAGATGTTGAGACACAGATGAGATTTAATCTAAACGATGTTGAGATCAGACAAGATTGAGTCCCAATGATGTTGAGATCAGATGAGATTGAGTCTAAATGATGTTGAGATCAGACAAGATGTTGAGACAGAGATGAGATTGAGTCTAAACGATGTTGAGATCAGATGAGATCGAGTCTAAATGATGTTGAGATCAGACGAGATTGGGTCTAAATGATGTTGAGATCAGATGAGATTGAGTCTAAATGATGTTGAGATCAGACGAGATCGAGTCTAAATGAGGTTGAGATCAGACAAGATTGAGTCTAAATGATGTTGAGATGGAGACGAGATTGAGTCTAAATGTTCCTGAGATCAGACGAGATTGAGTCCAAATGATGTTGAGATCAGACGAGATCGAGTCTAAATGATGTTGAGATCAAATGAGATCAAGTCTAAATGATGTTGAGATGGAGACGAGATTGAGTCTAAATGTTCCTGAGATCAGACGAGATTGAGTCCAAATGATGTTGAGATCAGACGAGATCGAGTCTAAATGATGTTGAGATCAAATGAGATCAAGTCTAAATGATGTTGAGATCAGACGAGATCGAGTCTAAATGATGTTGAGATCAAATGAGATCGAGTCTAAATGATGTTGAGATCAGACGAGATCGAGTCTAAATGATGTTGAGACGGAGACGAGATTGAGTCTTAATGATGTTGAGATCAGACGAGATTGAGTCTACATCATGTTGAGATCAGACAAGATTGAGTCTAAATGATGTTGAGACCAGACGAGATCGAGTCTAAATGATGTTGAGATCAGACGAGATTGAGTCTACATCATGTTGAGATCAGACGAGATTGGGTCTAAATGATGTTGAGACGGAGACGAGATTGAGTCTAAATGATGTTGAGATCAGACGAGATTGAGTCTAAATGATGTTGAGACCAGATGAGATCGAGTCTAAATGATGTTGAGATCAGACGAGATCAGGTCTAAATGATGTTGAGATCAGACGAGATTTAGTCTAAATGATGTTGAGACCAGACGAGATCGAGTCTAAATGATGTTGAGATCAGACGAGATCAGGTCTAAATGATGTTGAGATCAGACGAGATTGAGTCTAAATGATGTTGATACGGAGACAAGATCAAGTCTAAATGATGTTGAGATCAGACAAGATCAGGTCTAAGTGATGTTGAGATCAGACGAGATCAGGTCTAAGTGATGTTGATACAGAGACGAGATTGAGTCTAAAAGATGTTGAGATCAGACGAGATTGAGTCTAAATGATGTTGAGATCAGACAGAAATGAATTCTGGCTGTGTTTGTGATGGTGATGTTCTCAGTGCTACAGGCTCTACAGGCTCTACAGGCTCTAAAGGCTCTAAAGGCTCTAAAAGGCTCACGACAAGCTGAGAGAGCTGCTGGAACAGAGCCTGCAGAGTCAGTCGAGGCATGAAGGACAGATTTAATACCACATTGACTCCGGCGCTGCTTCAGAGCCGTATATGACACCACGGAGTCATTAGAACAGAGTCTATTACACAGAACTGCAGTGTAATAAAGCTGTAATGCAGGCCTGGTGGTGCGTAAAGGCCACCGCACCGTACGAGACGCACAGAGCTGGATTTAGTGACTCTGGGGCTCTAGATCGGACTGAGGCCCCCTGATGTACATCTTTAAATTAGCGATGCAGCTGCAGGATATGGGGCCATGTGAAATAATATTTAATCCAGCTGGTACATCTGATATTCCTCATTGATCTAAGAACATTATGCGGTTATTTAACTCTCAGTTTCTGGACTTTACCTGTTTTAAGTTACTGCAGTAACTGTAATGATCTCACCATGTTTGGAGATAATTTTGCTTGTTTTAAAAAATCATGCTTGAAATAATCAGCACTGTCTCTCAAATTATTTGGTATCACAAACGTTTAGTGCTTCCCTGCTTTACTTACAGACCGTAATCTGATTTTCCCTCTCATGAAGAACCTCCTCTCCATAATGTAGATCAGTGGTCACCAGATTTAACTAGAGTAAGATCATTTCACTTAACAAGAGATCATTTTTTGCAGAGTATAAAGAACCTTGAGCACTCAAAGATCCATTTCATGCTGAACTGGTGACAGAGTTCTGCAGATCAATGGAGAATGTAGTGCATATGGTTCTCTGCAGAAGCTTTTTGAAAATGGTTCTCTATGGCAACTAAAATGGTTCTTCTATTGTTACAAGCTTGACATTGTAACAGTCACAGAACCCATTTTGGTGCTATATAGAACCGAATACGACACATTATCCTTTAATCTGCTTTAAGCTGTACTGACTCCACACACCCCGTCTCGCCTCCAGGCTTTTATTTTACTGTTCTGTTTAAAACATTCGGTTATGAAAAGGTACAAATACGAACTTTTCACCTGGAAACACTTATTTAAGGTTCACAATCAGACCTTAGAACCACTGTTGGAGCTTTGAGGAACATTTACACTGTTTGGACCTCGATGAACGATAATTTTGTAGAACTTCATTCTAGATATTAATTTATAAAACATTCCAGATATTAATTTTATTAGAACTTCATTCTGGATATTAATTTTATTAGAACTTAAGTCTAAATATTAATTCTATTAGAACCTCATTCTAGATATTAATTTATAAAACATTCCAGATATTAATTTTATTAGAACTTCATTCTGGATATTAATTTTATTAGAACTTAAGTCTAGATATTAATTCTATTAGAACCTCATTCTAGATATTAATTTATAGAACTTCATTCTGGATATTAATTCTATTAGAACTTAAGTCTAGATATTAATTCTATTAGAACCTCATTCTAGATATTAATTTATAGAACTTCATTCTGGATATTAATTCTATTAGAACTTAAGTCTAGATATTAATTCTATTAGAACTTCATTCTGGATATTAATTTTATTAGAACTTAAGTCTAGATATTAATTCTATTAGAACCTCATTCTAGATATTGATTTATAGAACTTCATTCTGGATATTAATTCTATTAGAACTTCATTCTGGATATTAATTCTATTAGAACTTCATTCTGGATATTAATTTTATTAGAATTGTTAGATGTCAGTTTTATCAGAACGTATTTGACTGTATGTTTTCCCGCTGTAGCTCCTCGTGTCCGCCAGAGGGCGCTCTCTCCGCAGGTGCACTAACAGGTGAACTCCAGCAGATGGCGGTTTAGGACTGCAGCTGCGGCGCAGAGAGCGCGCGCGACTCTGGGACTAAATTTGAAAGAAATAATGAGCCCAGATGTGAAGTTTGATGGAGGTGCGCGCGGGTGCAGTGATGGGGATCTGACAGGTGAGTCGCGGTGCTGTGTGTGAGTGTGGAGCGGCCGTGAGCGCGCGCGGGGTTCGGCTCCAAAGATGGAGGAGAGAAAGGAGGTGGGGGAAGGGAGAGGGAGCGCGAGACTGAGCTGGACCAGTGATGGAGATGAAGATCTCACAGCACTGCAGAGCTCCACTGCACCGCTGCCGGCCTCCAGCTGCAGTGAGAAGGCACAGTGCAGACACGCGCCGCTCCACCTTAAACGCTGCAGCAGTTACGTTCCGGCGCCTCAGGCGCTGCAGTGCAGCTGCTGCAGCGTTTAAGGTGGACCGGAGAGTTCCTGTGAGAGGCAGCTGTGTAGCAGAGCCGTGCGAGGAGGGAGACGCTGCTGAGTGACCACTGAATGTCCTCACTGTCCTTAGATCCGTGTCTCCTCATTGTATCTGCACAGCGAGAGGTGGTACCACTTTAGAACGGTTCTCCAAGGGTTCTTCAGTGAAGCCAGTGATTGGATACAGAAACCTGACAAGCTCTTAAATACACAGATTGTACTTTACATGGTCAACATGTTTATTTTCTACAGTCCAGAAACCAAATATAGCAGCAAATCAACTCCAATAACTTTTTTAGGCAGATTTGTTTTACATTTTAATGTATGTGTAAGTTTTCAACACATTTCATCATCATGTGTCGCATAAAAGTCTCCAAAACTGATAGAAACAGACTTGAACCAACACAAAAGACATTACAGTGACTTTAATCACACCAGAATAAACACAGCAAGAAAACAAACAAACTAAAATGTCTTTCTAAAAGGTCATATAAATAAATATGTATTATTATTGGTTGGGGTGGAGAGGGCAGTAAAACATTAGAGAAGAAGAGAACATGAATGAAGTTATTAATTACATTTTTATTAAGTCTATTCATTTTTATTAATTCTATTAAGTTATTAATTAATTAAGTTATTAATTAAATTGATTAAAACTTTTTAATTAAGTTTTTTATAACTTTTTAAAGTTATTTTTTTATTAAGTCTGTTACAGATTTATTAATTCTATTAAGTTATTAATTAAATAAATAATTATCATCATAAAGACACACTGGAGTTTCAGTCTAGCTGTGGCGATAGCCAATCTGATAATCAATAACTCTGAGCAATTAAATACAGAATGCAAACAACACAGTGTTACTTAAACAATAACAATTTACAACAATAATAATGAAACAGTGATGATATCTCTTAATTAGTGTACATATAATTGTCTAATTAATCTAATCAAAGTCAATGTTTATAGAATTTTGGACAGATGATCGTTTTAGTATTTCATAACACACAGTGTGATCCGACAGCGCCGGTGGAAACGCTTATATTCTGCATTCTTCTCTGATTTAATATTGTTTTTTGTTACAAATTCTATCAGCATAACAATTTAATGAAAAGCAGAATCTTTGAAATTTGAACATGAATTTCAGAATTTCCCTGTATTTGGTGGGGTTTCCCTCTTCTGCTTTAATGACAGCGTGCACTCGGGCTGCATGAGCTCCACTAGTTTGTGTAAAAGTGTCTGATCCTCCTGAGAGTCTGATCACGAGCTGCACTAGAGGAGATCAGACTAAAAAACACTGAGCTTTTAGTACGAAGAATTTCAGAATTTCAAATATTTATTTGTTTTCTCCTAAACTTTTCTTTGTGTTAAATATTTCAAAACTTTCTGTCGTTTATTTCCAGGATTAAATGAAATCAGTCCCAGATTCTCAGTGCGCTGTCAGACTGCCGGACTGAGTGTGTATTTATTTATTCGTGATCAGAATCCGAGTGTTCGTTCACTGAGTCACAGATATTCGGGGAGTTTCTCTCACGCAGCTGTCAACATAAAATTAAAGCCAGTAAAACACACACAGAGAGGAGTGTAAGCGTCTGAGAGTCTGAGACTGTTTTCATTTACTGCTGGAGATAAACAGCTGAACATTGTAGAAGTTTGAGAAGTTCAAACAAAGGAAAGGTATGAAAACAGAAACACTGTAGATTCTGCTCTGTGTCTCTGGTCAGACTGAAGTGTGTGGAGTTGGTCGTTTGAGCTGTTTGTACTAAAAGCTCAGAGTGTTTTTAGTCTACGCACTTCTATAATCTAAGAATAGCTCAACTGATTCGCACTGAAGTCCCTGTAGTTACTGAATAATAAGCCTTAGAATGTAAACAGCCTGAGATTTTAAGGGGTTAAAGCAAAAGAAGGACACACCACCAAATACTGGGAAATTCTGAAATTGTTAAATGTGTTAAATTATGTTAAAATTTCGAAGATTCTGCTTTTCAGTCTAATTGTTATGCTGACAGTAGAATTTCTAATGAAAAACTGTATATAATTAGAAAAGAATGCAGGACAGAAGCACTTTAACTATTGCTCTCAGACGTTTGGACCCCATCCCCACTGTGTGTGCCTGACTTAAATAAATATCAGCACTGTCCCCAAAAATGTATCACCATTTTTTCTGTTTTAATGTTTTCATCATTTGATCTCAGCTGCTGTCCTTTATATTGTCTTAAACTTTCATGATGAATGGACCAATAGAAACGCTCCATAATCACGTGGAACAAAAGCTGTTTGTATTAACTTACATTAAAAGTTAAGAATGTTATTCCGATGTTATTCCGCTCTTCTGTAAAGTTACCATGTTGGGAAGTCTTGTTTTTTTTTTTTTTGGATGGCAACGATACATTAATACCTGCAGCTGTAGTTATTAATGTACTTAATGTAGGCGTTGAGTAAAACAGTAAATATATTTATAAAGTTTAGTGATAAAACTGTCCATAGTGCAGCGGAGTGGGCGATAACTGCCTGAGGGACGTGAGATCCGGTGATCCAGGCTGGTTCTCAGGTAGTTTTCAGGCGGTTCTCGGGTGGTTCTCAGGTAGTTTTCAGGTGGTTCTCGGGTGGTTCTCAGGTAGTTTTCAGATGTTCTCAGGGGGTTCTAGGATTGTTTTCAGATGGTTCTTGGGTGGTTCTCGGGTAGTTTTCAGGTGGTTCTCGGGTGGTTCTCAGGTAGTTTTCAGGTGGTTCTCGGGTAGTTTTCAGGTGGTTCTCGGGTGGTTCTTAGGTAGTTTACAGGTGGTTCTCGGGTGGTTCTCAGGTAGTTTTCAGATGTTCTCAGGGGGTTCTAGGATTGTTTTCAGATGGTTCTCGGGTGGTTCTCAGGTAGTTTTCAGGTGGTTCTCGGGTAGTTTTCAGGTGGTTCTCGGGTGGTTCTTAGGTAGTTTTCAGGTGGTTCTCAGGTGGTTCTTGGGTAGTTTTCAGGTGGTTCTCGGGTGGTTCTTAGGTCGTTTTCAGGTGGTTCTCAGGTGGTTCTTGGGTAGTTTTCAGGTGGTTCTCGGGTGGTTCTTGGGTAGTTTTTGGGTGGTTCTCAGGAGGTTCTCAGGAGGAGTTCAGGTGGTTCTCAGGAGGTTCTCAGGTGGTGCTTGAGTAGTTTTCAGGTGGTTCTCAGGTGTTTCTCAAGTGGTTCTCAGGAGGTTCTTAGGTGGTTTTTGAGTAGTTTTCAGGTTGTTCTTAGGAGGTTCTCAGGTCGTTTTTGCGTAGTTTTTGGGTGGTTCTCAGGTGGTTCTCAGGTGGTTGCCTGCATCTTGGCAGGCGCAGTAGTTGGGTCCTCTGCATGTTCTGTTGTTTTCCAATGGAACGACACCTCAGGCACATCACAGTCTCCTCCAGCCACCCGGAGGAGCTTTCTGCCCTTCACCTCTCCATCTTCATCTGGACCTTCCTCAGTCCAGGAGGGTTCTCTTGGTGTTGTTTTTGTTCTTGTCTTCAGTGGTGTTCTGGGTTTTCAGCCTCAGTAATAGTCTGTAAAGTTTCCTCATATTTTAACTTCTTCAGTTACACCAACGATTAGCTGAGTGCAGCCAAGAGCTACTCACACGAGGCCGTACAGAGATGGAACGTGTGCTGAAGTGTTCAGTAGTCAGTACTAAATAAACTTTTTAATGGTAGAACTTCAAATAAAATAGATACTGTTATAAAAATATAGATGATATAAACAGTAATGAAACAGAGGAGTTCAGCAGTTAGGCTAACTCCCCCGGCTCACTGCTGCACTGTTACAGCCCAGTATTAAACAGTCTACAGCCTGGCGGTTGGGAACCTCTGCTTTAAAGAACCAGTGTGAAGAACCTACACATAATGTAAAGGTTCTTTATAAATTAGTGTCTGATGCACAACTTCTAAAATCCTAAGAGAATTCTAAAACAGGCCGTGTCTCAGACTTAACCAAGGTCTTTACAGAATGTCTTGTCTTTTTGCTGTGAGGGAGAAATGTTGTTGTTTACAGAACTAGATTATTAATCAGAGGTTCAGCTGTGAGAAAAACACTCACACTCACCAAATCACCGCCGTTCACTGTGCATGTGGACTTTGGTTTGAACATGTTTGAAAACATCTCTGGTCACTCTGGAACTGCAGTAGATCTGAAGAATAAAAACCTGTTTTTTCTTTCACACCAGATTACTGATCGAGCTCTAAACCCTCAGATTCTGGAAATTTCAGATGTCAGAAGGAGCAAAATAGGGTTAATATCAATCTAAAAAACACAGAGTATGTCGGGCTCAGAGGTTTTTCCTAGAACCATATTTCCAATACAAGAACTGATGTAAGGAAATCTGTTCCCACCAGTACATCTAAAAACTGTTGACTTAGTATCTCAAAATAATGGCATAATGACTTATTATGCACTCTTGGGCATAGGCACTAAGTAGTGGGGGGTGTTGTGGGGCATGGGAGCATTTCTGGTGTGTTCAAATATTATTGACTGCTGGGCCTTTCATATAATTATCTAAAATGTCTTTGTGCTGTAGCTTTAACATCACCCTTCACTGGAACTGAGGGGCCCAAACCCTGAAAAACAGCCCAGCCCATCATCCCTCCTCCACCAAACTCTACTGTTGGCTCTGCATTCCGGTAGGTAACGTTCTCCTGACCTCCACCAAACCCAGATTCATCATCAGACTGACAGATAGTGAAGCTGATTCATCACTCCAGAGAACA